ACTACAAATACCACAGTAAAACTACGGTTACAGTGGGAGAAGCATGGTAAATATGTTGTAGTTACTGTGTATTGGCTACACATGACCAGGTCGAGCAACAGTTAGGCTACTGTGGTAAAAATATGGTAAATGTGTGGACTTTTTACATGATCACGATTATGATACCGGATTGGTTGATTTATTGTGCTGTCATCAACCATGTCTAAAAGCTGAAGACCCTTGTCACAACATGATTAAAAACGGTTGTATTTATTTATTTATTTCAAACTGCAACAGGTCTATATACAGTAGAAGTTAGCTTAGGCTAATGTCAATGGTAGGCTAGCAGCTGTGCTAACTGAGCAGCCCACTGTTCCATAATTTGAACGCATGCACTGCCATTTTAACACATGACCCCATGTAACGTGATGCAGAAACACTGAAATAATTAAAATAATACCGTTAACCACGTGATTTCCTTTAAAAAAAAAGATTGTTGCCCTTACCTGTTTGAAGGTGTACGCGCATCAGGTGAACTGGACGAACTGAGCCTCGCTGGTGACATCACTGCCGCTGAAGATGACGCGTGGTATTTGGACGCATCTGCTGAAGTTAATGTGAAGGATTGGCGTATCATATGCACGCAAAATTGGCATTTGGCGTATGCATTACACGCAATTAGAAAGTGTAAAGCCGTGTTATTTATATGCAGATTGATGAGAACGGGTTGGGGAAACGGAATAAGCAGACAGTTCATGTATGCTATCTATGGCAGTGATGGGGTTAACGGGACAGATATGGTGTGCTTTTATAATTTCTGGGCTCATGACAGGCAGGGTTAAGGATTCAAAGGTGGGTTTTTGAGCTGTGACAGACAGGGCTGAAAGTTCCATGTTGGTTTCCTTGAGAGTGGCTGGACAGACAGACCATTCAAGATTGGGGGCATTAACAAAGACTGGGTTTGTCTCTTTTGAACAGAACTAGACGAGAACTCACAAGTGGATACTACTGACACCTCTAGGAGGTTCTGCAGTGGATATTAAACTATGCTCCTTTCTCTACAAAGAGCTTAATTATCATATAGATAGTTCTTTCCGATCTTAATCATATGTAAATATTAACATTACCTCCGGAGATAGCGTGGGAGAAGCAGCAGGTCGTCAAGAACCATCTGTTGACTAAAAGGGTACATGAAAGAACTGCTATGGATTCTGTTTAATCTTATCCCCTTAACATTTGGTTGGAACACTTGAGTCTACCGAAGATGTGGGAACGGAAGGTTATCACTTTCATTGTCATCCGCAATTTACATTTAAAACAAAACTTAATTTACATGTTGAGAGGGAAGATAAACATAATTCTGTATAAAATGATTGAGCTTAGGATGTTTGAGGTTCAGTCTGACTCCGTTGAACCCAAAGTACTAGGCTACATGTACTTTGTCACTACTATTCTGTAATAAATATAATTCTTCATCAAGATCTTCGACGTCTTCACTTTTTCTTACATTTCCTTGAGAAGGGTGGGACAGAAAGGCAATTCAGTATTGGGTACATTGGAAAAGGCTGATTGGATTGTGACTGGACAGACAGATCGTTCATTAGTGGCTTTTTTGGCGATGACAGGCAAGACTGATAGTTCAAAGACAGCCCTTTCGGCTGGGTCGGGACAGGACAATAATTCATCATTGGCCTCCATGGCCAGTTCAGAACAAGGCAAGAGTTCACAGACGGCCTCCATAGCCGTGACAGGACAGGCAGAGAGTTCACAGATGGCCTCCGTAGCCGTGACAGGACAGGCAGAGAGATAACATATGGCCTCCATAGCCGTGACAGGACAGGCTGAGAGCTCACAGATGGCCTCCATAGCCATGACAGGACAGGCAGAGAGTTCCCAGGCGGCCTCCATAGCCGTGACAGGACAGGCAGAGAGTTCACAGACGGCCTCCATAGCCGTGACAGGACAGTACGAGGATTCACAGACGGCCTCCTTGGCCGGAACAGAACAGGCAGAGAGTTCATAGGCAGCCTCATTGACCGGAACAGGACAGACAGAGAGTTCATAGGCAGCCTCATTGACAGGCAGAGGCAGAGAGTTCATAGACGGCCTCCTTGGCCGGAACAGGACAGGCAGAGAGTTCATAGACGGCCTCCTTGGCCTGAACGTCACAGGCAGAGAGTTCATAAGCGGCCTCCTTAGCCGGAACAGGACAGGCAGAGAGTTCATAAATGGGTACCACTGACACATCTGGAGGTTCTGCAGCAGATGCCACCACCTCTGGAGGTTCTACAGTAGTAACATCAGGAAAAAGGGAGAAGTCAGTAATGGTCTCTTCGACCGCAATACGACAGGCCTCCATAGCCATGACAGCACAGGCAGAGAGTTCACAGACGGCCTCCATAGCCATGACAGGACAGAATATCATGCATGGTATAGCTAGGAAACTGTCTATATGCATTGCAAATAAGAAGTCATTCATCACATATCAGACGCTAGTGTGAGGCTGCCTCCGCTAGCGGCACAGGCCAGTTTGCAAATTAATTTTAGGTAAAGTCGCAAAAAGGCAGGTCGTTTGTTGCTACAAGTCAATCTTAGTCAATCAAAGTTAATCTACTTTGTGACATAAAAGGGTGTTGATGTCATTTTGTAATACACAATGAAATTACTCAGATTTTCTGAATTAATTTTACTAGCATTTTTACCTGTATTTTAAGTTAAACATTTCACTCAGATACACGGATGAATAAGATCGATTTTCGAGAAATAAGTTCAACTATGTACCTAAATGATTAACAATTATAGGCACAAACTAACAACTAAGGTGTATCTTAAAGAAATTATTATTGAACAAGCACATCTAGCAACCTAATTCACATGTGATATGTATTGCTAGGCACCTCTCTCCAAGTCTCTAGCTGATGTGCCACTTGGCGAGCTTTTCAGTACTTTCCTCTTTGCGTGGTTTAGAGCAAAAGGCATGTCTTTTTTGCATTTTATCACTTTTAAAAGATGCTAAAAGCTGCCAAATAAATTTTAAATGGCAAAATTTGTTGCTATGTGCTTTGGAAAACTTGTTTGGGTGGTCTGAGAAGTTGCTAAATTGCTCAATTGGCAACACTATAGGCTACTTGGGCATTTCAGCATTTCCCGTCAAATGTCACAAACCACTTCCCTTCTAGCATCAAAATTGCTAAATTGGCAACACTATAGGCTACTCAGGCATTTCAGCATTTCCCGTCAAATGTCACTTACCTTTACCGCGGCCCACAGCTGAAGCAAGCGTGAGGCTGCCTCCGCTTGCAACAGAAGCCCTTACATCCCAGTCTTTCCAGATTTTCTGAATTAATTTTACTAGCATTTTTACCTGTATTTTAAGTTAAACATTTCACTCAGATACACGGATGAATAAGATCGATTTTCGAGAAATAAGTTCAACTATGTACCTAAATGATTAACAATTATAGGCACAAACTAACAACTAAGGTGTATCTTAAAGAAATTATTATTGAACAAGCACATCTAGCAACCTAATTCACATGTGATATGTATTGCTAGGCACCTCTCTCCAAGTCTCTAGCTGATGTGCCACTTGGCGAGCTTTTCAGTACTTTCCTCTTTGCGTGGTTTAGAGCAAAAGGCATGTCTTTTTTGCATTTTATCACTTTTAAAAGATGCTAAAAGCTGCCAAATAAATTTTAAATGGCAAAATTTGTTGCTATGTGCTTTGGAAAACTTGTTTGGGTGGTCTGAGAAGTTGCTAAATTGCTCAATTGGCAACACTATAGGCTACTTGGGCATTTCAGCATTTCCCGTCAAATGTCACAAACCACTTCCCTTCTAGCATCAAAATTGCTAAATTGGCAACACTATAGGCTACTCAGGCATTTCAGCATTTCCCGTCAAATGTCACTTACCTTTACCGCGGCCCACAGCTGAAGCAAGCGTGAGGCTGCCTCCGCTTGCAACAGAAGCCCTTACATCCCAGTCTTTCCTGCTGCTACTTCTAAATCTTTGACTCTGAGGCTGCCTCCACTAGAAGTGCAGGCTACACAGGCTCTTCAGGATGTCACAAACCCCATGGCCTACAGCAGCTGAAGCAAGCATGAGACTGCCTCCGCTTGCAACACAGGTCCTCACATCTCAGACTTTCCTCCTGCTACTTCTTACCCCTTTTTTCCTTTTCAGTGGACTCCAGCTCCCATGGCAGATGCTAGCGTGAGGCTGCCTCCGCTAGCGGTGCAGGCTACACAGGCTCTTCAGGAACCCAACTCACTTCACGTGGCCTCTAGCCGAAGCAGGCGTGAGGCTGCCCCCGCTTGTAACAGGCCCACACATCTCAGTCTTTTCCTCCCGCTATTAATTACCCCTTTTCCTGCTCAGTGTCCTCCAGCTCCTATAGCAGACACTAGCCCAGAGGCTGATTTAAGCGTGAGGCTGTTCGGACTGCTTCCATATCAAAGAAGCTCACTGAACCCTCATCAGCCGACCCCTCTAACGCAAGTTCATCCCTGTACACGCGAACTCCAGACCCACCATAGCCATCCCATTTAACACCACCAAATCCACCCATAGCGGCTCATCTCCACTTCAACCACCCCAGCAACACCCCGCTCCCGCAGGAGCATATCTGTTTTTCCCCACTACCACAGCAGTGTCAGCTCCCTCAGGAGCCTTTATCTCTCTTTCCCACTGCCACAGCAGTGTCTGCTCCCGCAGGAGCCTTAATCTCTCTATCCCACTGCCGCAGCAGTGTCTGTTCCCTTCAGGGGCCTTATCTGTATTTC